TTATTTTTATTTGTGTTTTGGGCATTATGTTTTTTTTTCCTTTGCTTACTCGGATTTACTACGTTTTAAATTTTTGGGCGTTAATTATTTTGCTTTTTTTAAATTTTTTTTTTCAATTTATTCCTTGTAAATTTCCTTTTTTTTCCTGCATTTTTACCCTATTATTTATTTTTTTGCTTTATTTGTGTGCACCTAAATATTTCTTTGCATATTTCCGGCATCAAAATATTTTCTACGTTCTTCTTTTTCCTACAAAAATATTTTTGATCTTCATCTTTTTTTCCCCAAAATATTTTTCCCTTGTATCTCTTTCCACCAAAATATTTTCCCCTTCTTTTTTTCCCATTAAAACATTTCCTTTTCATCTCTTTATATTTAAACATTTTTCCCTTAAAATCCGTCGCTTCGAAAAGCTTCGCCTTAAAATTTTGTTCATTAAAATTTTGTGCGTGAAAACATTTGTTCGTTAAATCGTCTGCTCATCAAACGCCGCTTCACTAAATCGTTTGCGCCTTCAAACATTTTCGCGTCGAGCCCTTTTTGCCTTAAATTTTTTGCTTTAAATATTTTTCCTTTTCGTTTTTTTTTCTCATTATTATTTTCGCTTTACATTTATTTTTTTAATCTCCATTAAAAAAAAAAAAAGAATCCAAACAATTATTTTTCACGTATTTTGCTCGGCTTTATTTAAGGAAATACACATGTTTTGTTCCCGGCCCGTGTTTCTCCCCCCGGGGCTCGCCCCGGTGCTCCCCCCCGGTCCCCGCGGCCCCGGCCTGGCCCCCCGCGCCCCCCGGCCGCGCTCGCAGCCCCGCTCCCCTTTGTTCGCCGCCGCCCGGCCCGTGCCCGGCTCCCCCCGCCGGATCGGGCCCCCCGGCCCCGGCGCTGCCAGAACAATGACCCGGCGGGCGGGAGCCGCGGCCGGGCACCGGCAGAGACCGGGAATCGCGACCGGGAGACCGGGGAAATACCGGGAGAGCGGGGCAGGGCGACGGGGACGGAGCAGGGAACCGGGGAGAGCAGGGTCCGGACACTGGGAAATATTGGTGAAGCGGGGCCGGGGGAACCGGGCTGGAGGGAAAAGGGGAAAATACCGAGGAACCGGGGCTGGGGAAGGAAGGAAACCGGGGGACCGCGGCGGGGTAGGCGCCGAGCACCGGGGAGGCAACGGGAAGCGGGGAAGCCGAGGGCGAGCGGGGCCGAGCCCCAGGGAAATACGGTCGGTGAACCGGGAGAGATAAAAGAACCAAGCGCCGGGAAACCGGAACCCGAGCAGCGGGCAGAAAGGGTCGGAGCAGCGGGAAGCGGGCCCCGGAGCGGGGACAGCCGTGCTCGGGCTCCAGGCGAGCGGGGTTGAGAACCGGGAGTGCTGGATAAAGGGGGGGCTTCGCTCGGGGAGCACCGGGAACATGGAGTGGGGGGGGCTGTGTGCTGAGGAAACTGGGGATCATGAACTGGGAGTACTGGGGAAAGGGGGGGCCGTGCTCCGGGGATGGCAGCGAAACGGACGGTGCGCCGGTGGTACCGGGGAACCCGGGGCCCTGCGAACCGCGGGGAAAGGASGCTGTGTGCTGGGGAAGCTGGGAGCGGAGTGCCGGGGCGTGGGGGCTCTGGGGTGCAGGGATGGCCGTACCCCCACCCCAGCTGTGCTCTCACTCTCTCCTTTCTCTCCCCGTGCCAGGAGCGGAGGATGAGCCGACAGCCCCGGCGCGGAGCGCGGCACGAAGCCCGCCGAGCCGGCCCGGCGCGGCGCTGAGCATCGCCCGCGAGCCGTGTCGGGGTCCCGCCGAGCCCCCCCGCGGGTGGGTGCCCCCGGCATGGACGGCCGTGACTTCGCGCCCCCGCCGCGGCTGCTGTCGGAGCGGGGCAGCCTGGGCCACCGGCACGGCACGGGGCGCGTGGCGGGGTCGGCACACGGGGCCGTGCAGCCCCCCGGACACTTCCAGCCCACCAAGTACTTCCCGGCGCCCATCTCCATGGCCACGCACACAGGTCAGAGGGGTCGGGACGGCCGCGGCGTGGGGGGCCGGGAGGGGTTGGGACGCTCGGCTCTGCACGGCCCGGGAGCTCGGCACGGCCCCGGGAGCTCGGCCTCCCTTTGTGCCGTCCTCACTGTCACCGCGCCCGCTGGTTTTGGGGTGAGGACTCGCACACGGGGGACATCCTCCTGCACTGCCGCTCCTCCGGCATGGGAGGAGTGTGACCCCGGGCTGCTCCGGCGAGATCSCGGTGCCGGGACACGGAGGCGCGTTCGGGGCGAACGAGGAGGCCGTTATGCGCGGGCCCGTGGGGTGGCGGTGGAAGGTCACCGAGCCCGGGCTCGATATTCGGCGCCGAAGTGTCAGGGTGCGAAGGGGTTGGCGGCGTGTGTTCGCCGCGGCAGCTGCGGGAGCCGGACAAAGCGCGGCACACGGCCGAGCTCGGCGCGGCCAACAGCACCGGCGCGGGGTCACCGGATCCGGCGGCCGCGGCGAGCTGCTCGCACGGCTTTGTCTGCGGCATGTGCTCGGCTGCGGCCGGGCAGGGCTGAACCGGGGTGYGCAGGGCTCAAACCGGGGTTCTCTGCACTGGGGGCTTTGAGGGCACAGCCGGCCTGGAGCCCCCTGCCGCTGCCGAGCTCCGGGATGGAGCCGGAGCGGGAGCCGTGTGCCGGCGCGGCGCAGTGCCGGGGCCCCCCGCTTCCCGCCGGCGCAGGCGGTTGTCTGGCCGCGGCACGGCGGCAGCGCCGGTTATTGTCGCCGCCTTGATGAGCTGTGAATACTAATAAAATTATATCTGCTTTAATGGGATTACAATTAGTGCGTGGATTAGGGCGGGGGGCACGGCCGGGCCGGCGCGGGGGGGTGGAAGCGGTGGGGGCTCTTGGAAGGAGGTGGAAAGCGGGGGGCACCGGGGGGTGCCGGGGAGGCGGCGCCGGATCGGGCCCGCGGCCGGGGCGGTTTCGCTTTGTGCCGGCGGCCCCCGCTGCCGGGACCACCGCCGGGCTCGGGGGGCCGCTCTGGCTTCCCCCAGCTTTGTTGGGCGAGGAGTGTGGATGGGGGCTTGGAGCCCGGCCCCGGGATGTGGGMTAGGGGTGGGAGTTGGGCTGCTCTCCGGCCCGCGGTGACCGCGCGGGGGATCCCGGAGGGACGCCAGCGCCGGGGTGCTGCTGGCTTCCATCCGGCTTTCCTCCGGCTTCTCTCCGGCTTCCCGCCGCGGCGGCGTCCCCGTGCAGGACCCTCACACCCGCCGGGGCCTGGGCGACACATGGGAGCCCGAACGCACCGGAGGTTGTTAAAATAACATGGATCCGGCTAAAAATACCCCGGCAGAAACGCGCCGAAAAAAAAAAAAAAAAAAAAAAAAAAAAAAAAAAAAACAGAGAAGCCAAACCCAACAACAGAACGAGCTAAAAATATTCTGGCTTTGGCAGGGCCGGCGCAGCCGGAGCGCTTCCCAGCGAGCTGCGCTCCGAGCTCCGCGCGGCCGGAACGCCGCTGGGGCGGACAAACCGGATAATTTAGTGGCCGGCACGGTGCCGGCGGGAGCGGGGYCCCCATCCCCAGCACCCCGTGTCCCCCCGGCATGGCCCGGCCGCAGTGCCGGCAGCCGTGGTAGCGTGGCGTGGTAATTAACGCCGATGATTGATAATTACCCCACCCAGCGCACGGAGCCAACCCGCGGTCGGCCGTGGCGTGGCGATGCCGGTGCGGTACCGGGGGGCACGGCGGGGCTGGGGGGGCTCTGTCCGCGCTCCCCCAAATGGCTCCCGGCGTGGGGCCGGACTACACCTCCCAGGAGCCTTTGCCGGGCCCGGTGGCCGCCCTGGGAATGGGAGATAAAACTGTTTTCGTTGATTTTATTAAAGCCGTAACTCAGGGCCGCTCGTTGTTGGAACTGAGCGCTCCGGCCGCCGTCGGGTTCGGCGCTGGCTGGGTGCTGGGACCGGGACTGAGCTGCCGGCACGGCCTGGGGGTGCGGGGATGGAGACCCCCGGAGGCACCGGAGCCCACCCAGACGGGGCGCAGCCCCTGCACCCCCATTTCAGTGGGTGCCACCACCCAGCACAATCTGTGTGGAGCAGGACCCGGGGTCCCAGTGCCTCTGCCATGGTCGGGGGGTGGGGAACTCCGGCAGAGACCCGACCAAGCCACGCTGGGGCCTGGCCACAATTTTTGCCCTTCGGATGTTTTTGTGGACTAGTGGAGAGTTGTGACTGCGCCGTGATTGTGACTGAGTTGTGATTGTCACCGTGGCCGAGCCCTCGGCTGGGAGCAGCACAGCCGTGCCCGCGTGTGGCTTTGACCCCGGGGGTGTGTTTGTGTGCATCCCGGTGCCGGTGCACATCCCAGTGCCGGTGTGCGTTCCAGTTCTGACCCGCAGCCTGGCCCTGGCAGTGCCGGTGTGCATTTTGGTGCTGGCACACAGCCTGGCCATGACAGTGCAGGTCCCAGTGCACATCCTGGTGCATCCCAGGGTGCGTCGGCGGCTGGATGTGCTCCCACACCTGTCCGCTCCCTGGATTACCCCGCAGCCTGGGGGCTGTGCAGTTCCTGGCACGGCTTTGAGGGGGGATTTGGGCGGTGATGGTGGAAGGCAGGTGGGGACGGTGCCCCTGGCTGGGTGGTGACACAGGGCCGGGTGCCAGCGCTGCAGCCGCTCTGCATCGCTGCGTCCCTGGAGACGGATCTGACAAGGGGCTGGAGGCCGTGGCACGGCTCCGGCACAGCTCCAGCCYGGGGCTCCCTGCTTCCCCCAGCCCCCCGTGCAGCACATTGCCAAAGTGTCAGAGTTAAACCAGATCTGGAGATTAATTCGGCTGCTCCTTGGTACCCAAGGGTCCATGCACGGCTGGTGGGAGCAGCGGGATGTGCAGAACCCGGGATCCCTACCCAGAGTCATCCCCAAGTGGTTCCACTGTTCCTTAGTCATGAGCTGGATCCAGGCGGAGATGCTGGCACGTGCCAGGCCCTTGGGGACAGGCAGCTGCCACCAACCCCCAGCGCTGCCCAAGGGACAGATGGGCTCCACAGAGAATTCGAGGGCCACTCTGGGCACCCCCRGCTCCTCGGGATGCCCAGCCCTGCCTGTGCCCTGCCGGCCCCACAGCATCACCCCAGGGCAGAGTCTGACCCTGCTGGGTCCCGGGGGAAGCAGGGGGTGGACAAGTCCTGGCAGCCCMTCAGGATCACTCTGTCCCCCTCCTGGGACCCACATGTGTGACATTCACAGGGAACCACGTGTCGTGAGGTCCCCATGGGTCCCACATTTTGGGGGGGGTTCCCAGGAGTACTTGGCATCCATGTGACCCCATGAGTGGGGTGGGACATCAGGACCCTCCCTGGCTTCCCTGCGCTGCAGAAATGCTCTTGCAAAGCACATGTGTCGGGTTGTGCTCTGGGTGTGCAAGTCATGTGTGCAGGATGTGTGCACAGAGCACACGCGTGTGCCAGGAGTGTGCACCACCCTCACCCCAGTGAGTGTGCAAGTGCTGAGTGTGCAGTGGCTGTGGCCAGCGCAGCTGCCAGTGGCATTCCGAGGGGATAACCCGTGTGCTAGCACTGGGATCGCCCTCCTGGCCCCGTGGGGCACGTTCCAGCAGCATTTCACCATCGTAGCGTTCGTTTAGTGCCGTAACAATATGGATTCAGTTGGAGTTACAGCGCTGAGGGAGCCAGAGCCCATTTATTCGCTGTTTTCCAAATTTTTAAAGGGGCTGTGTGGGTTGTGAAACACGTGGAGGGGCTGGGGACTGCCCCCCACCGTCTGCCCTGTTTGGGGGTCCCGGGTTGTCCCTGCCAGGTCCCTGCCAGCTCCCGGCCCTCCACCCACAGCCCTGACTCCATTAAGAATGTTCCAGCCCCGAAATAGCCAAGGGAGAAACCCAACCCTGCGCACGTCCCCCCTGCCACCGCCGCGGTCCTGGGTCTGTCACCACATTGGGGATCCCAGAGCAGCCGTGGGCTGAACACCCCCAGGACCRTGGACCCCCCTCCCAAATGCTCACCCTGAAACTTTTTGCCTTCCCAACACATTCCCATCTGCGYTGCACTTGGAGTGGGGGCGAGGAGCAGCTGGGGGGAAGGGAGCACCTCTTGTTGCCCTCTCCCGAGTCCCCCCARTACCCCCCACCCCCCTTGGCGCTGTCAGTGTGGCCGTGCTGAGACCTGGCACACTTATCACACGTGTGACCCTCTGCGGGTTTGGGGCCAAGGGAAATTTTGTGCCGGAGCCGGGAGCGATGCCGGCAGGGCTGAGTCACAGCAGCGGCCTCAGGGAGCCCAGCCAGGGAGTTCCCAGGGTGACGCTGCCGGGGGGCGGCGGGGGGGCCCGGGGTGGGACCCCGCAGCCCATCTGTCCTGTGCTGGCAGCCGTCCCCACGGTGCTGTGCCCGTCCTGGCACGGGCTCTGCCAGTGTGTTCATCGGTGACACGAGTTGTGCCCGCTCTCAGGGCCTGGTGGCACCGGCGGCTCATCGGTGACACGAGCCGTATGCGTTCTCGGTGACCCGTCCCTGTCCTCRCAGTGACTGTGGCTGGAGGGGCAGAACCAGGGGGCTGCTCTGTGCCCCTGCTCAGAGCACGAGGCCGTGGCGAGTGGCAATGTGGGATCGGCGGTGCTGGCCACAGGGCTAGCGTGCACCGGGGGACYCGTGAGTCAGCGGGTGGGCGGTGGGGAGCGGCGGCCCCACAGCCCCCCGGGACACCCCGGCCCCGCCGCCATCAGGGCGGGGTGAGGGGTTATTTTTTTCCAGCCCRTTTCACAGCTTCCAGAAAAGTCT